AAAAAAAAAAAACAAAAGTGATCCCTTCCTCCACTCCTCCCGTTATTCATGTCCTTCACAATGGGACTGTGCACAACCAAAAGGTTGGTGGTTCAAAGCCATCCTGAGGAGCCTGGGAAGACAAGCTTGGTGATTCCGAAGGCCATGGCCTTGAAAATCCCATGCAGCCCTGTTCTACACGTGGGCCCACGACGAGTCAGAGTGGACTCGGTGAAGACTGTTTTGTTTTGAGTCTGTGCTGACCTCGTGACCTGCCTTAACTGGTAGAATGTGCCAGTTCCCAGTCTAGGTCTACAAGGCCTTCATGTTTCTGTTTGTTCTCTTGGGACCCTCCCCAGCTGCTACGAGAACAAGCATGAGCTGGCCTTGCTGCATGATGAGAGACATATGTTCTAGTCACTTCAGCTGGCCACCCTTGACCAGCCAGTCCTCCACCAACCCATCAGCTGACTACAGATGAGGAGTGAGCCCGGTCAAATTTATCTGGAAATGGCCCAGATCAACAGAACCACCCAGATGACCCATAGGTTCGTGAGCAATAGTAAATGGTTTCAACTTAACCAAGTTTCAACATGGTTTGCTACACAGCAGTTGCTAACTGATACTTTCACCTCGGGCTCTAAATCATGATTTTCACATGTTGGGTCTGAAGACCTTCAGAGGACCAAGCTGTGTCTGCCCAGCCCTGTATCCACCACAGCAACATGGATTATCATGCTTTGCTGTGCATAGTGGGCACATAGCCAGGCTCTTCAGGGTGGCTCTGTAACCTGGGCACTTGAGTAATCTTTGAAAAGAAGGCCCAGTGGGGAGCGGGGGAAGTAGGACAGAGAGGAAATCTGGAGCCTTGAAAGAAAGGGCATGCCATAACTCTTCCTGTGTTTGTTCCCAATTGTTCAGTGTGGCTCCAAAGGGCAGAACCAGGAACAAATGCATGAGGTTTATGGGGGAAAAAGTGTTCAGTGCTGTTACGGATTGAATTGTGTTCCCTCAAAATAGGTGTTGGGTCCTTAACCCTTTACTTGTGCTTGTGGTCCACTTTGAGAATAAGGTTTCTTTGTTACATTAATGGACCATGTCAGCATAGGATGTGTTCTAAACCTAACCACTTAGGAGTTACAAAGAGCAGCTGAGGCACAGGACTAAGCTCACACTGGGAAAGACAGATGTCATGTGAGGATCCTCTACAAATCAAGGAACCAAGGAATGCCGAGGCTACAGATAAGGAAGGAAATGGCATGGCTGAGACTCTGCTTTGGGCTTTTAGTTCCAGAATTGTGGAGAAAGTAAATTTCTGTTCTTTAAAAGCACCCCCTTGTGGTATTTGTGTTGCAGCAGTACTAGGAGACTAGGAAAAGCACTGTGTGGAAAGCTCTTTTTCTAACCATGCAGGTTCAATGAGGTGGAAATGGGCTACTACTGAGAGTAATCAGCTTCCTGGTACTAGAAGCATCCAAGCAGAGGCCTAGGAGCTTCCACTTGGCAGGATAGGAAAACTGAATGGGAATTGTATACAAGTAGCCTTGGACATAGGTGGCTGTAAGTCACGTTCAATTGCCCTTCAATGCATAGAAATGCTCCCAAAGGCTGATATTTCATTGTTCAAACTATTGATCTAAACTGTCTCTCACAGGTACGGTGATAAGGAAATTCTTTAGCTCACTTTGGGCTCAGGGAAACAGAGTCCCTGCCTTGCCACCTGTCTTTAAGGTTTTTTCTCTCTCCAGTATTCTGCTGGTGGGAACATACTTCTCTTCCTGGAAGTCATCCAGTCCTTAGGGAGGGGACATCTTATTCCCAGGACCTCACTGTCCTCCCCTCTTCTCCTCTCCAGCTGCCCTGACCACACCCGCTCCACCCTGGGCCACATGGTTATTTCCTTCGAGGACTTGGTAGTGAATTGCCACACTCTCATCATTTGCCTTTCCCAAACAGGCCACCATACTTCATCACGCATATGTGGGCCATGGAAATGTTCATGTTAACTCCAAGACATGGAGTTTCCCTCCCTGGGCCTCATATACTCCTCAAAGCCCTGGGTTGACAGAGACTCAGGGAGGCAGTTGGACCTCAGAGTTCCAAGGACTTGGGACTTAACGGTGATGATTCTAATGAAGCCCCCCCCCCCCCCATCCTGTCAGGAGACCTGTTCTTCACCGGACTTACGTCTAGAGAGGTCAACTGTCTCACTTCATTGGCACTAATCCTGCCTTTGTCCACATTACCATTGATGTGCATTTGGCAAAGAACAAAGCTTTTTCTTGAGGTATTTTTTTGTTCCATCCAGAAAAGGACTCTAAGAAAAGGTCAGTATTGAGGTCCCAGAGTAGCTCTTTGAAGGATTCCCAGGAGGGAAAACAAATAAGGTGGTGAAAACTCCTGGGATGCAATTTCAGGATTAAGGAGTTTGGGGCAAGAGGAGAAAGGATATAGGTGCCTTTAGTGCCCCATCTTGGCATCTATGCTGGTTTTTGTCAACCCTTAAGCTGCTGGTGTGGAGAGAGTCTCTGGGAAGGGGTACTGTGAGTTGCTAGAGTGCATGGCTCATTAGTCACTAATTTCTGGTGTCTAGAAATGAGAGAGAGCCCTTCTGAAGCAAGTGTATTAGTTGCCTGTTGCCATGAAACAAAATTATCACAACCATGTTGTTGTTGTTGTTATGTGCCATCGAGTCAGACCTGACTCATAGCGACCCCTCCTTGGGTTTCCCAGGCAGTATCACTACGGAAGTAGATTGCCCCATCTTCCTTCTGAGGAGTGGCTGGTGGGTTTGAACCGCCAGCCTTCTGGTTAGCAGTCAAGTGCCTTAGGCACTATGCTACCAGATCTCCAACCATAGTGGCATACAACAACACATGTTTATGATCTCACAGTTTCTGTGGGTCAGGAATCCAAGCATGTCTTTACTGAATTTTTTGTTCAGAGTCATATAAGGCTACAATCAAGGTGCTAGCCAGGCTGTATTCCTTTCTGGAGTTTGGGGTCCTCTTCCAAACTCATGTGGTTGTTAAAACCCACTGTCATCAAGTAGAATCTCATTTATAGTGATCCTCATTGGGTTTCCCAGACTATAAATTTTTGTGAAAGTAGATTGCCTCATCTTCCTTTTGCAGGGCAGTTAATGGGTTTGAACAGCTGACCTTCTGATTAGCAACCGAATGCCTTACACACTATGCCACCAGAGCTCCTTGTGGTTGTTGGCAGACTTTAATTCCTAGCTGTTGTAGGACTCAGTCCCTCAGCACCTAGAGCCCACCCACAGTTCCCAGATGCTGTTGTACTAAGGCCATCAGCACTTAGGGCTCATCCACAGTTCCTTGCTTTGTGTTGTTGTAGGGCTGAGGCCCTCAGCACCTAGAGCCCACTCACAGTTCCTTGCTTTGTGTACCTCTCCAAAGGCACTTTATATCATTGTTGTTTACTTTTCCAAAGCCAGCTGGAAAATTTCTCCAGTCTGCTAAGACAGAACTTATATTACAAAATGTGATCATGGGGATAACATGCCATATTTTATTGTCTAGAAGTAAGTTGCGAGTTCCACCTGCACTCAAGAGGAAGGCATGAGTCATGGGAGTCATCCCAGGGTGTGTCTGCCACACCAAGTATGTTATGAATTTTGTTTATCTAAAAAGGGCTTGAGGACGAGATGGCAGAAGCATCGATAGACTCAAATGAGGATGTGTCTGAGGAAAATGAGGACCTGGGCATTCTTGAACAAGTTGATGGAGGTAAGGGAGCCACTAATTCCTTGGAGGGGTGTCCCAGTCCAGGTCTCAGTTTCTCCATCTGTACAGTGGAGATGAGGCTCCCTGCCCAATCATAGATATGCCGCAGGTGAAGCTAGAGGCATGCAGGTGCAGGAGAGGCCAGGGGCACAGGAGCACCTCTTGTAATGATAATCTCAAAACCATACCCATGGCACTTTTATTTCAGGTACTTTCCAACAAATTATGAACCTCCTGAACATCATGGAAAGCGAGTCAGCAAAGTCAGATGGTGCGTGGATAGGCCTTGACATGCGGAAGACCATGGCCTCAGTGATCATCACGGAGAAAGCCAACAGTGAACCCTCCATGGTGATAAATGCACTCATCCACTCTCTGCAGATGCCTGAGGTAGGGCCCTCAGCTGCTAGCCCCTCCTCTGAGCACAGCCTCCTTGGGCTTGTTGTGCATCCACCCACCGCTCAACACAGAGTTACCTTCACAGGCAGAGGGTAGGTGCTGGGACATAGATGGACAAGACCATGAGGAGTTTTACTTCTTGAACTAAAAATGCAAGCCAAACAAATTGCTGTCAAGTCAATCCTGGCTCATGGCAACCTTACGTGTGTCGGAGTAGAGCGGTGCTCCACAGGGCTTTCATTCTTTCATTTTTCAATATTTTATTGTTGTTTTTGAGAATATACACAACAGAACACACACCAGTTGAGCAGTTTCTACATGCGTAATTCAGCGGCATTGATTGCATTCTTTGAGTTGTGCAACCATTCTCATTCTTGCTTTCCAAGTTGTTCTTTCCCTATTAACGTAAACTCACTGCCCTCTAAGATTCTTATCTAACACTTCCCCTTGCTCTTGTCAGTGTGATCCCATACAGATAGTTCATGAAAGAGTATAATATTCAAGGCAGGCATTCTTTTCTAGTTAAGCTAAACTATTGTTTGGCTTTAAGATTTCAGGGAATATTTTTAGTTTAAGATTGAAAGATTATCTCAGGGCAATAGTTTTGGGGGTTCATCCATCCTTCATGGCTCCACATAAAGTTTTCAATGGCTGATTTTTCTTTTCTTTTTTTAATTTTTATTGTGATTTGGGTGAAAGGTTACAGAGCAAATTCACTTTCCATACAGCACTTCACATATACTTTGTTTCATGACATTGATTATAATTTTCCAAAATGCAACAGCTTCCCTCCCACTTCCTCCCCATAGTTCCTTTTCCCTGTGTCTTTCCTTCCATGCACTCCTGCCCTATGAGCTATCTCCCTGTGCATACACAGCCCTTCTATTCTCCCATTATTGATCTCTCCAAGAAGTGTATCTACCTAGTGTAAATGTTCACCTCATATGCTTGTCTTTTGTTTGTCTGGAAGCCACAGGAGTGGGTTCAATTCCAGACCTGAAGGGCAGCTAGTGGTCATAGTCTCAGTGGGTCCATCTGGCTCTATCAGACTAGCAAAACTGGTCC